GTAGATTAATTCATCTACCTCTAATGGATTTGGATTGATATAAATGAGGACAACTCTTCTCTTTTTGTATGCTGCTAATTAATCCCATTTCTCTACTCTTTTCAGGTCATGCACAGACTAAGGATTAAGTTTTCTTTTTCTTATTACTGCTTTGTCAAGATGACATCTCTGCCTGAACCCTCGCTCTGGGTTTTAGGCTATGTGGTATGAGTACTCTTATAGGTGTCCTCAAAGTCATCATAGAACGCTTAAGGTTGGAAGGGACCTTTAGAGGTCATCTAGTCCAACCCCCTGCACACGCAGGGACACCTAGAGCACGTGGCACAGGACTGCGTCCAAGCAGGTTTTGAAGACCGCCAGAGAAGGAGACTCCACAACCTCTCTGGGCAGTCTGTTCCAGTGCTCTGTCACCCTCACTGTTAAAAAATTTTTCCTTAAGTTCCTGTGGAACTTTTGATGCTTCAGTTTCTGGCCGTTTCCTCTAACTCTGACAGTGGCCACCAGTGAAAAGAGGCCAGCCCCATCCTCCTCACTGCCTTCCTTGAGGTACTTATAGACACTGATTAGATCCCCTCTCAGCCTTCTCTTCTCCAGGCTGAACAGAGCACATGGTTGTAGATGATCTCAGGAAAGAGCATGGATGAGAATGTGCATGTCTGGTCTCTCTAATGTGCTGATCTGCTGTTGAAGGGTATTTGTGAAACGCTGTTGGTGCTGTTTGGCTCCCAGGCCAATGGTTTGCTGGAGCCTGCACAGAAGCTGGAAGAGCTTGTCTGACAAGGAAGGGCAGCCGAGCATTTGAGTGGCAGGAGTTCACTGAGCAAAGTAAAGTGCAAAAGATCTGTCAACGTTTTTTTTTTTAATAGCTGTGGGCTTCTCTTCCCTGTGGTGGGTTTGCTTTTCCAATACTCAGTGGTTCCTTCTGAATTATGCTTAGACTTCCGTTTGCTGTAGGGAGGTAGGTTAATTTGCTTCCAGTATTTGTCATTGGTATGGAAGCCTCGTGACAAAAATCCCCTAGTGTTGAACATACCATATTCTTGAAATCACTCGTTTAAGCTCTTGGGGAACAAAGAGATGGTAGGTAATTAAAGTGAACTTAGAATTGTTCTGAAACACTTCTAGATTAGGACATTATTGCAGGTTTTCTCTTATGTCAGAGTTAAAAACTTCAAATCGCGAATCATAGCATGATGACTTCTGGTGAGATGTACATTTATTAACTACTGTAAAAAAGGGTAAAATCTCAATCTTCCTGGCCTCTGCAAATATGTGACTTCCTAGTTGTATAGAAGCGGTAGAAACTCAATAACTTTGTAATTCAAGGCTTGCAGGTGAAATGGCAAAGAATCCGCTCTAAAGACTAGAGCAAGCCATCATGTATGAAAACCTTGATGTAAGATTGAACGTTCTAAAATTTGTTTGTTTTAAGGTGAACTCTGATCTCATAATAGCTTCCACATGGCATTTCTAGGCGCTAACTGTTGCAGGCCATTGCATCAGAAAAGCAACTTGCTTCAAATCCATGCATGCTTCTATGTTTTTATTTTATTTTTTAATGTGCCACAATTTTTTTTATTGGATATTGTAATACAGTGTTTTATTTTAACTGATGTTGAAGTTTAAACATTTCTTTCCTGTATTAGGAAGGTAACTGGTGGGAGGTGTGGTGTGTGGGTTTTTTTTTTTTTTTCCCCTCCCCTCCAGGCTACATACCTATCAGTCAGGAGGGTTTCTGCTTTTCTGACTCAATAGCTTGCAACTATTTTGAATCTTATAAATAGCAGAGCTGCTGGCCATCTTTTTTACTTCAGATTTAACAGAGGTGGGTGAAGTTCTTCATCTTTTTCTAATGCAGTTTTAGACTTTACACTAAAAATGTTTCACTTCTTTTATAGTTTGGATTTGGGAATGTAGTTTTCCTTGCCAGTGTTTTGGTTTAACATGATTAATATCTAGATTGGCTTTTGGAGTGTGACTTTATGTTGTTAGCCTGATTTGGAGCTTTTAATTCCGTGAGGAATGTTGCTGAGTTGCCTTCGTTGTCTACTCCTTTCTTAAAAATCCCCAATTATGTATTTGGGATGGTCTAGGTATATTTGGTCCTGGTTTGGTATGGAGTGGTGATGCAAAGCGGGGGACTAAAACACTGTTTAATTAGTGGTCCATTGAATATCCAGGAATCTATTATCAGTTTGCTTCCTTGATCCCTGTGTAATGCAGGCTTTCAATAGGCTATGCAAACAAATTGTACTGGAATGCTTTTATGCAACCCAAACTCAAAAAGAAATAAAAACCCCTGTTCCAGATGACTGCTTAATATCCTTTCTAGATCAATATTTTTCAGGATAGATATCTGAATGTTTTGATGTGTTGCTTTTAAAATTCAGAGACATTTTGTGGGTATAGATTACTTTAATTCTATTTTAAATGGTAAAAGGCAGTGAAATTCTATAGGAGGAATGTGAAAAATATGCTTGGGGGGGAGAGCAGCGGTTTCATTTTGAAGAGGAAAAATAATTTTTAGTGTGATGGTGATCTCTGCATGCTTGTTATAGATTGCTGATAACTCCTTTATAACTAGCCTGACTACTGCGGAATTTTGATCCGTATTCCTCCATAGGCATCCATGCCTAATATTGGTAACTGGTTAATGTTTTAGAAATTGCTTGTTTAAATGTTTTTTTTCTTTTATTTGCAAAGTGAAATCTTGTGCTTACTTGCTCCATAGAAATGCTGCCCTAGTAGTATCAGAACTAGGGCATGGATGAGCTCTCTTCGTTTTTAGCAGCAAAAATAGTGGCTTAAGGCAAAAGTGCATGAATAAGAGGTGGCTCAGGCTTCACTTCCGAAGCAAAGGTAGAGGAAAAGGGGGCAAACATGCCCTTCTCAGCAGGCGGGAGCTCTCTGCATTCAGCTTTGTGTTTTCCAGGCTTCCCAGAGCCTCCTGTGCCGTGAGAACATGGAGAAATCCTGGGGTCTGAATCAAATCACCAACTGGCCTCCCTTGAGTCAAAAACATGATGAGCTTAAACAGCTGAAGTTAGGCTGGAGAGTCTGTATAGAAGGTCTTCCTGAGAAAACGATTTGAGGACAAAATTGAAAGAGATTTGGGTATAATAATGATTTCAGGTCCTGTATTAGGCAGCCCAAGTTTACAGGGGAAATAAATGAGGGTTTGTAGGTGCATTGACCAGTGTAGGTAGGAAAGATTACATATTTAATCATTACATTAATAATTAATTACATATCCTGTTACATATTTAAATGCAGTGGTTTCCTTTTGGTATAAAAAAATCTCTGCAAAAGAGGGAGACTTCCCTCCTTTTTCTGCTTTGTGTTGTGTTCTGTGTAGTAGCATAAAACCCATGTGTTTTCTGCCTGAATGTATTTTCTATGGAGTTACAATGTGCAAAGACATCAGTCTAGAGTATCCATCTAAAATAAGAGGTGCTTAAGGGCTGGTGCCTCTAACCCCAATATAGCACTATGGTTAACACTGCAGCAGTGGGAGCAGTGTCAGCAGCAGCAGTAGACCATGTATCTTGGCTTTGCAAACTGTCGTCTTGGTTTTGCCTTGATCTGCTCTGTAAGGGCCTGGGGCAGAGGGAATGAAGCATGCAAGCGTGCTCGAGAAACTGGTGGGCTGCACTTAATGCAGAAAAACCTGTAAGGCCCTAGATACCTAGCCATATGTGTAATGTGCTCAGCCTGATGCTAGGGCTCTAACTCTAGGTGTAAAGTCAAACTGCTTTTTGAAATGGCTTTTGAATCGCTAAATTACAAATTCAACAACTTAAAGATGCAAATGGCCCGCCAAAAGTTGTTGTTCTCTCTGGGGGGAGGGCTTTGGTTTATAAGTCTCGCATTACTGATTTATAAGAGTTGCACTTTGAGATGTGTATTATTTACCATATGGGACATACCAATACCACTAAGCTTCTTTAAGACACACAAGGGTGTTTATTTTTCTTTTTAGTTAAAAGTAAGTATCTCTAGAAAAGGTGCTATGTAGTGAGGTGTTGCATCATGTAGCCTTTTAATTTTCTTTTTTGATATCTTTGTGTAAAAGAACCTAAATCTTAAAAACGAAGCATTAAACTTGGTTTTTAAACAATACTTGTGTAGTTGTTATAGATGGTCAGTATTTGGTGACTTGCTTGAATAAGCAAGTGGGGTGTCTTTTTTTGATTACTCCTAGATTTGTGAACTGGCAAGGCTGAAACTCCAGTATCTGAAAGATTTGTTGGTATTGCGTAGATTTTGGATTTGGAAAAAAAAATGCACTTCTCTGACTTTCTGGTTGTAGCTTCAGATGGGACAACTTTTTTTCTTTGGTAGCGCAGATAGTGGTCATAACATAATGACATAGACTGAAACTGTGAGAGGAAGAACTGTGTTCTTGGCCCATGTAGCTGAGAGGGAGTTAGAAAAAGTATTGAGAGCATGTTGGTGAAAAGTGTGTGTGTGGTTTTGTTTTGTTTTTGAAACTACAAGTTGTGATAGAAATAGCGTGCTAATATTTGCACATTTAATAGAGCACTAAGTTGCATGGAAGCTGTACGTGTGCAGCAGGGAATAGCAGGAAAAAAAAACAACAACTTGCTTTGGGAGTGCAATAGCTTGGAAAAACTGTTCTGCGTAGAACACTTCGCTCAGTCCCATGGGTACAATTAGAGGGAAAAAAAAGCCTATCAAAAATGCTGAACTAAAATTGTTGATAAAGAGCAGAAGAGAGCTGCTTTTGCTTTCTTACAGATGAAAGAGAGTACTGAGAAAGTAAAGGGAAATCAAAAGGAAAGAGCTTGATAGGATGAGATCTAACAAAAAGGGAAGCATGGATCAAATGCCTTGTGAAACTTCCTATGAGTTTGTTTAGGCCTGGGAGAAGTGACAAAAATGGTTGCTTGCAACTTTGTTATCGTTTCTCCTGATCCATTTTTTGAGAGTCTGGGAAGGGGTTAGGATGCTCTCTCCTGTCTGACTTCTGAGGAAGAATAATGAAAGTCTTCAGTCTGGTGACAGAGCACAAGCAACTGTTACTGTGAGTTGGGAACTCTGAAGAACTGTTGCTTACCTAATGTTATCTCTTACTTATCTACAAGAGCCATCAAGATACAGTAATTCCGTTCTTTTATGCAAAAAATGTTTAAAGGAGCAGATAAATATTTTCAATAGAATTAGTTGGCTACTGAATTCCAACACTTTTTTCCTATTCATGCTTCATTTTTACACTTTCCAGGGGAAGAGGGAGATTGCTTTTCCACTAGTGGTGCTTTTTGTGGTTTGGATGGCTAAACAATTGTCTTCTAGTGGCAAAGGAAAATACCGAAATCATAATTATGCTCTTAAAAGTTTAATCAAATCTCCCATATAGAACTTAAAGAACTGAATTTAAATTGCAAGAATTGAATGTGTGTGTGTTTTTTTTTTTCTTGGAAAGGTGAAACCTAAAATGTATGTGAAATACTTTTGGTATACTGGGAGGAATAAGATAAGTGTGTAATGATTTGTTAAACATCTCTTGTCCATGCATTTCTTACATCTTCAGGTTGATCTTAGATTTTGAAACTTTTGTGCAGGTGGCTTCTACTTATGTCACTTAATTTGAACTGTTTATAACCCTGCATTCTGTTTCGTATTTTAGTGCAAAAGATGATATTGATATTGATGCCCTTGCTGCTGAGATAGAAGGTGCAGGAGCTGCAAAGGAGCCAGAGCCTCAGAAATCTAAAGGCAAAAAGAAAAAAGAAAAGAAAAAACAGGATTTTGAGTAAATATTTTTGATATCTTTCTAATTTTATTCCATTATACACAAGCTCAGTTACTTAAGTTCTATAACTTCTTTCTTCTTTTAGTGAAGATGATATCCTGAAAGAACTGGAAGAGCTATCCTTAGAGACACAAGGAGGGAAAGCTGACAAAGAACCTTCTACAGGAAAGGTGAACAATATAAGGGATGTGGGTATGTAGTAAGAAATAATTGGGCTACCATTCGCAACTGTCCTAATAAAGTTCTCTTGCTGTAGCGTAGTTGGAGCTCATAAGTGAAACTTAGCAGTTTGTATATTATTTTATTTGTATCTGGTCATGCTTTCATGCTAAATGCCAACTATGAAAGATTTTGCCGGAAGCCATGTCTGCATGTAAATGGTTATCCAAAACCATGCAGAAAAGGCTTTAATTGTGGGCTTTGTAGAAATATAATAAAAAAGGAGTATGGTATATAAAACCCATGTGTTTTATGTACTGCTTTTCAAACTTTGCCTTAAATAAGGGAAGGTTTTCTCGAGCTCTGAATGCAGTGTCTCAGAACACACACCATATCATTCTTCATGACTGATTATATGATTGTTTATTTCTAGGCTGAAAATGACAGTGAAGAAATCAGCTTATCAAAACAAGACAAAAAGAGGAAAGGAAAGAGTAAAAAGGCCAGTATTGAAAATGACTATGACAGTGAGGAAGGAGAAGAAAAAGATAGAAAATCTAGAAAAAATCAGAAAGCGAAACAAGAAATGCTTTCTGGCAGTGATGATGATGATCATGAGGTGCTGCTTAAGAAAAATAAAGGGAAAACTCAGAAGTCAAATAAAAAACAGGACCTGTCAGAAGATGATGAGACTAACATTAAAAAAAGTAAAGAGCGAGTCAGGGCAGTGTCTTCGGGGGACAGTGGTGATGAATCAGATGAGGTCTCCCAGCCTAGAAAAGGACAAAAGAAAACCCAAAAAGCAAAGCCCACTCCTGCTGCTGAAAGTGGGGATGAGGAAGAAGAACCTTCATTCAAAGTAAAAACAGTAGCCCAGAAGAAGGCAGAAAAAAAGGAGCGTGAAAGGAAGAAACGTGAGGAGGAAAAAGCTAAACTGAGGAAACAGAAAGAGAAGGAAGAATCAGAAGCTGGTAAAGAACCAGCAAAACTGAAAGAAGCTCCAAAGAAAGTTGAAGAGAAGGCTTCCTCTGAAGCCCTCGTGGGCAAGGGAGAGACTCCTGCAACAGCAGAAGGTTGGTAACAAAGTTTCCAATACTCTTCATTATTTTTAATAAGGAGACCAAAATGTTGGCTGGCAATGAGGATGACTGCTGCTTTCCTGTAAACCACATACACTAGACATTTGGTAACCTTTTCATTCTTCTCTGGAGATCTTCCAAACCTGCTTGGATGCAGTCCTGTGCCATGTGCTCTAGGTGACCCTGCGTGTGCAGGGGGGTTGGACTAGATGATCTCTAGAGGTCCCTTCCAACCCTAAGCATTCTATGATTCTATGATTCTTGCATTGGCTAACGTGACCATCTTTCCTTGGCCTGTAGTTTCTCAGGCATGTGGGGGACAGAAAAGCCAGATGGTGAATTCTCATTGCAGCATATGCTTACAGTTCTCTAATCCAAGGGTAATTTTTTTTCACTCCACAGTTATTCCTAGACACCTGTTGCATAAAGATCTCAGGCCCTGCTTTGTATTTTAAGAATTTTTTTTTCATTCTGAATTGCTTATAGATTAGTTTCCTATATTTGATGTTTTATATAGTAGTAGAAACATTCGCTGTGTTTGGAGTCCCTAAAATTTCTGGCATCTTTGAATGTGTGTTTTGCATCTGCAGCTGATGACAATGAGGGGGACAAAAAGAAAAAAGACAAGAAGAAAAAGAAAGGTGAGGAAAAAGAAAAAGAGAAAGAGAAGAAAAAGGGTCCTAGTAAAGCTACAGTCAAAGCTATGCAAGAAGCCTTGGCAAAAATGAAGGAGGAGGAGGAAAGGGCAAAAAGAGAGGAAGAAGAACGCATAAGACGCCTGGAGGAACTAGAAGCTAAACGCAAAGAGGAGGTATAACTATATTTTATTCTGCAGATTGAATGAAGGAGATGTTGATTTTGACCTCTGTCCTTGTTGGCTCAGCTGCCAGTTTATTACTTGATATGTTTCTTGTCGATAGAATATGTACTTTTGACAGCTTTTGTTCTGAAAAGCACGTTCTCTACATGCTTTCTTTGGTAACCTTTTTTTTTCTAGGAAAGGCTAGAACAAGAGAGGAAAGAAAGAAAGAAGCAGAAAGAAAAAGAGAGGAAAGAACGTTTGAAGAAGGAGGGAAAACTTTTAACTAAAGCTCAAAGAGAAGCCAGAGCCAGAGCAGAGGCTACTCTTAAACTCCTCCAAGCTCAGGGTAATGAAAAGAGTATTTCATTCACCTTACTCATCACTTTTAGATTTTGCTATCTGGGGGTAGGAGGATGAGTACTGAGTAATTCCATGTGTAAACGTGTCAAGGAAGGCAGAGTGGCGCTGTTTTTGTTAGTAGTTCTAAATGTGTGTGTATCTTCATTTTATATACTGAATATCTAACTTGTTAACAATACATTCCTATTACAGATTTAAGTTAGTTAAATCAATCTTTTCACTTCTTGCACGCAAAGGCCAAGAAGAGCAGATTTCAGACCTGGGAAGGCTGGAGATCTCCATCCCCTTGAACTAATTTGTGTGGTCACTTGAGCAAGATCATTACTTTGTCTCAAGTTGGCTAGTCCATAGGAACTACTTATCTTCGTGCATTTGCCCTGGGAAAAGAGTACAGAAGCTGTCCTACTTTTCAGTCAAATACTTGCTTTTTTCTTTTCTTACCATTGCAGTGAAATAAATGTGTGCAAGTGCTACCCTGTAGCTGTTACACTGTAAACCTACATTCTGGTAACTTTTTGTGTGGCTAAGGGAAGAAGTTAATTCCAGAAGTTGAATATTCTTATGTTTATATTCGGAGGGAACCCCTATCTCAATTTACTGAAGTGGGGCAGGGGGAAAAAAAAGAAAGGATTTCTGTAGCTAGCACAATGTTTGGAACTCCCAAAGCCCTAAACTTAGGCTCTTAGTTCTCTGCAATTGCTGTTGCATTTGAGAGTCCTACTTTTATGCTGCCATAATTCAATTTCTGTCCATCTCAGTAAATTGCCCAAAGGAATTTTGAGTGTTTCAGAAAGTACTGGAATAATTAAATGATGAATTTGTTGTTTCACCAAACTACTTCTTGATTGAATCTCTTGCAATATATCCATGTTATTTTTCTGGGGAGGTGAAAATGAAGGTGGTGACTTCAAGTTGTTGTTATTTTAGTACCTAAAACAAATCTATATAGTTTTAAAAATACAGCCTTTTATAGCAAAAGGCAAAACGTTATCTGCTAACTAAGCTTTTAAGAGGAGATCTCTTATCTGCTTCTAAATGTCTGTGATTAGGTCAATTGTCAGACTGTTTTTAAAGTGAATTCTAACATAGAGGAATTTCAGTTGACACGTGCTTGGTAAGCTTGAGGGGTGTGTGTGTGTGTGTGTGTGTGTGTGTGTGTGTGTTCATGAAAGCATATTTAAGTAGTATTGGGAATTTTCAAACCTGCAGTTCTATGGTTGGACATTTTCCGTGATAAGATTACTTGAGAAATGCATTTACATGGACAGTCAGAGAACAGGTAGAACTGTTTAACATCACTCAGCTCTTGTAACTTTTAAAAATTGGGCTAAGGTTTTTGCTAGCTAGAAAATGCATTGAGCCTACTTGCCACTCTTTCTACTCTTTCACCTTGCAAGCCTGGAAAATGTCTTGTGTGTCCAAATTTTGTTTAGCAAGTAATCACCTGGATTTTTCTCTGATTTTTGCAGGTGTTGAAGTGCCATCCAAAGACTCTGTGCCAAAAAAGAGGCCTATATATGAAGATAAAAAGAAAAAGAAGCAGCAGCAGCAGGAAAATAAAGAAGGTATAGTTTACATATGGAGATACTCAACAAATTAGTCGCAGTTTAGGAGAAATTGGTAGAATAAATCAACTGATCCTAAACTGATCGCATGTCAGAGTGCCTGCAAGTTCTGTCTCCCCACCCCTACCAATGCAAGTGCTCATGTATTAAGATCACAGAGATGTTTTGAAGGCTGCTTGGTGTTTAATCCTTTGTTTTACAGTGTACTTGACCATTACGTTTTTTCTAGTCTAGTTTGTTTTTAGAATTTGTAAAATGTAGCAGTATTAGGAATGTGAGGATGCATGTTTTTTGTGCTTATGTAAAGTAAGTACAATAAAGTGTAAGTAACAATGACTTGTTATTAAATCTAAGCTGATACCCCTGGATGAAAGGGGGTTGGTGTCGTTTTTGTTTTTTAAGTTGGAGAAAGCTGTTTTGCTTGTGCCCTATCGAGAGAATAGTTTTCAGTTTCCAGGACCACAAGGAACTTTTTAGTTGAAAACAAACAAAACAAAAACCCAACACCCTTAAGCTAAAACTTAAATCAGAACTAAAGACTTAAACTTTGTTTTTTTTCATACTAGTTAGGCATAGTTTGAATTGATTGAGTGTGTCAGTATTTTTTTGACTCTTGTATTTCATGGTTTTCTTGTGATAGAGTGGCTTTTTCACCAAGACCTTAATAATTGGTTTAAAAAATAATTACTTGAATCAGTATTTCAGCTCTTTTGGGGAAGAAAAAAAAAACCCACAGAATATTGTGTTCAGAAGTAATGGCAATTCTTTTAGACATTAATGGACTTCGTCTATTTAAAGCGTGGTGTCTATTTGAGAAATAATTTTCTTCCAAGAAATTAACTGTGTTTTAGATCAGTAGGTGGTTGTTTGGTTAATTTTGGTTAGTTTCCTTGTACCAGTACAACTTAAAAATAGCTGTATAACTTCACATCCAATTTCTAACTAGGTGAGTTTCAGTTGAGAGAATGTAGGAGTTAATTTGCTTTCTTGCAATTTCAGAAACTGTGGAGGCAACTTCCCCAGCTGAAGATGCTGTAGAACTAGAAACACCAATAAAAGAAGAGACTCCTCTTCCAGTAGAACCAGGTCAGTAGTAACATTGTTCAACTTTGAGCATATGGGAAGGCTGTTGTGTGGTGGTATGGAGTGGCAAATAACTTTTTTTTGATACCCTGTATCTTGTTGAATGGGGCTGAGTGGCTGTCCTTAGTCAAGGTAATGCTGCTACTTCTGCTTGAGGAACTGATGGAATTTCATGGCATAAAAAGGCACAAAGCTTCAGGATGAGAAACTGTAAATGCCCCATATTCTGAGTATACTCTAGTCTTCAATTAGTTCAGGCAGCTGTGGCATGTAAGAACATTCAGTGTCTTATGATCAGCTCCCTTCACTTCTCATTTGCTTTTTAGAAGTCTATTTTGTTAACTGCCAGATGTGGCACATTCTCCCTGCCCCTTTTGGTACCTGTGCTGCAATCTTCAGTGATGTTTTTCTGTATTTAGTGGGTTTTGCACTCACAAGTGCTGAATGCAGTGGATATTGACTGGCTTGTGAAAATAAGACTTTTCAGCCTGGTGTGTGACCCTTGCTTTCCTAATTATCTGTAAACAGCACTTGTGTTGGCAAAATAGCATCCTGGACTTCTGCTTCCTTAGCCAGGACAATCCTTTTCAGTTTTTCCCTTTTATTAAGTTAGACAAGTACTGACAAGGCTTCCAGCTGAATATGCCAAAATATTCATATGTTGAATATATATGTCACTTCTAGTTGGCTTCTCTCTTGAAAGAATGATTCTGTTGCCATGAAAGAGAAGGGCTGTCTGGCAGAATGCTAGTTCTGATTTAGTCTTCTAGCAGTCTGGTATTTATTCCTCCTGTTGGTTTCAAATAGCTGAAATTTCATGACTTGCCATGTACTGCACCACATATGCTGTTTAATGCCTCTTTTGGAGAAGACTGAAAGTTTGTTTTTTCAATTCATCTCTTAATAGCTGCAGTCTCTTCAGATGTCTGAGTTCGGAGGGAATTAATATTTCAGTGCTTCTGGAATTCAGAGTGCCATATAATTGTGTTAAGGCACATGCAGTCTTAATGCTTAACTGCTTTCCTCCTAACTGAAATTAATACTGCAAACAAACTCTCTTACTGTTTCTCTGTTTGTTATGCATGACTAGCTGTTAACTGGGCAGCTCCTTTCAAGGCATGTGTTTTTTGTAGAAATTTCTGATGTTTATTGAGCAGATGCCTGTCAGATATGCACACAAGAATTCGATCTATAGTAGTTTAGTTATGTCTTCCAAAAATAAGTTTTGCTAGGCGTACTAGAGTTAGACTTTGTGGAGAGAAGTGAAGGTTATTTCTTAAGTATGCAGCATTAGTGAAGACTGCTCTGACATTTTTTTATTTTTTTTTCCCCTCCCCCTTCCCTGCTTATCTGTCAGGATTTTTTTTTATTTGAGAAGTTGGAGAGTTAAGTTAGATTTATGGTATGAGCAAGCTTAAAAGTTGCAGTTGTGGGTAAGCCAAAGGATGGGGATTTCTAAAAGATTTGTATGTTGCAGGGCTGTTTCCTTTTTACTTATTTAATTTAATTTCGGATTTTGCAGTTTCAGAAGAAAAGGAAGAAGAAGAAGAAACAGAAGATGCAGGTTTGGATGACTGGGAAGCTATGGTTAGTGATGAAGACGAGGAGAAAGGTGAGCATGTAAATACCAATGATTAATAGATCTTTTGAACTGAGTTGTTGCTGGAGAAAATACTATAATTCTTCCCCTTTGCTAAGTTGAACGAGTGATGAAGCAAGTGTGGTAGAAAGGGTTATATGCACCTCATCTTCTTAAAGGAAAAACTTTCAGAAACTCTTCAGATTCTAATGAAAAGGATTCTTTAGAATTGTACTTACCAGCTAAACTAAGTCACTTGGAGTTTTATTGTTGTTTGTTTGATTTACAGCAGTAAAAATCCTCTCTAGAAGTGCTTAAACCACTACTAGGATTTTGGGGAATCCCAAGAGTTAGAGCTTGGCAAGCACATGGGGGTAGCTTCTCGGATAAGTTCTGGTGGTAGAGGGAGCAGTGCTGCTGTTAATCTCCCTGAATGGGAGTTGGTTACTGTGCTTAGTCCTTCCATGATTTAGCTTAATTATTTCTAAAGATCAGAAACTAGTTTTGATTTAT